ACATATTTCTCCTTTGTGCATTTTCTGTATATATGTTTATGTAGATGTGCATTCTTAACTCTGCCCACAAAGGCATTTCAATGCCTGCTGTTAATTTACCTCAGTTTTAATTAAGAGTAACATTTTCCCCAACAACTATTTCAATAATTACAATTTGTGATTGTGCTGAGTTGCACTGACGAATTTCAAATAAGATGATTGAACTATATTTAATTACTGCTTGAATAATAAAGGCCAAAAGTATTACATAATAATCAATATGAATTAGTTCTCATCAGCTTGCATATAAATATGCCTACTGTGCCTGCAGCGTACATTGGCCCAACCCACAATCGAATTTATTTTCACAGAGCCTATGCGAATGAGTTTAACAATTCAAATAAATGTCGAAATGAATGCAGAATAAAGCAAATTTCTCTTAAGCCAACATAAAAAGCACACGCAATATGATTTTCGAGTTCATAAATGTCTAATCTAGTTTAATTGACTTCATTTGACCGATTTCCCCCGATACGCTTATCCACCTGCCCTTTTGCTCTCCTTTTTGCTCTCTCTCTCTCTCTCTCTCTCTGTCTGGCTGCAGCTACAACATTCAACACCTACAGCTCGTTGTACGGCATGTTACTGAGTCTTTGGTGCATGTTTCATTCGATTTTCATAAACGTACTCTGTGCGAATTGCCTCTCTTACACTCAATTGGCTGCGTTTCCACTTGAATCAGCTTCCATTTTTCCCAGGCCATGCAGACGACGCACAAAAAAGGCCGACACTGCGACGACACTCACATTCCAAACATAGTGAAGCGATCAAACTTTGAATGAGCAAAAACAAAGGCTGCTGCGAGGCCACCAAAAATTTCATTTTGCCAAAAAAGAAAGAACGAAAACGCCATTTGCAGCCTTCAAAATTTGCTTTTACCTGATTGAATGTGTCAGCCAAGCATAAAGATAGCATGTTAGCCTAAGGCCCAACGGCAACTACAACATATGTTGTCTAATATCAGACCCATGGCATTTGTTTTAGACTAGCTGTCATGTGCAGGAGATCAATCGTATATAATATTTGCTAGTCTTCAATAAATAAAAATAAAAATAAGAAAATATATATACATACCATATATAATATATTCCATACATATACCATATGTATAATATAATCTGCATTCAATTCAGTTGATGCCACAGACTAATCAAAATGTGCCTTGGAGTATGGGAGTTACAATGTTAGAGCTATAATGAAATGCAGCATATGTTGCACACAGAGTGCATTAGGTGAGTAAAACCTGTGATAATTCAAATAATGATGACGCTTTAGCTACAACAATAACTAACAGCACCACCAGACAGCAGCACCACCACCAGAAGCAGCATTCGCAAAGCAGAGCAGAGCAGAGCAAACAAGCAGCCGCAACCACATTGCAGCATCCGCCGTCGCATCCGTCTGGCGGGCAATGCAAAAGCACTTTATTTAAGTGAGTCCCACATGAATAGCCCTTAGCTGGCGGCTGCTGAGCGGGCGGAAGGGCAGAGGGGTGGACGGGCGGTTGGTCGGAGTTTGTATTTGTAACACTTCTTGCATTTTTCTTTTTTCTTTTTTTATTTATTTATTCACTGTCTTTATAAAGCATGCATATGCACAGCCAACGCTTTAGCGGCTGCCGTAGCCGCAGCTGTGCCCCACCCAATCTTATCTACATGCCTGATACACTGAAAGAAAGAAAAGTGTCAGCGTGATAAGAAAAATATTATTTTAATTAAAAATAAAAAATACGATTAAGCAAAATAAATAAAAAGTTTCTGTGATTGATTATAATTTTTATTTATTTATTTATTTTTTTAAAATTAAAGTATTCTTATGTCTTTTTAATCATTTCAACGACTTTTTCTTCAAGTGTAGTTTAATGTGTGTGCATGCACACACACACATACACTCACACACGAGGACATCAAGTGCCTTTGGCAGCAGCTGTTCGGCAGGTCTGTGGCTTTGGCTTTGGCTGGGCTGTGGTAGCCGGCGCTGCGCTTGCCTCATTATGTTGAGTTGGCTGTTTGTCTTATTGCAGCGAGCCAAGTGCAATGCAGATGGCTTAATATGCGCTTTAAGGCCCTTTGGCCGGCTTTGTCATTTAATATCAGAGACTTATGCTGCGTGTTTCGTACTCGAATCCTTTTAGTTGCAAATGCTAGCTAAGTCGCTCAGGCAATGCTTGTGCATTTTCTAATTTATTTAATGCAGCATTATTCATAAGCTGTATGCGCCTACCGTTTGGTTGGTTGGCCAGCAGGTCTTGGCCACGTGACCGACGTGAAGACAGTTTGTGCAATTTATGGCCAGTGCGCCATAAAATGAAATTGTAATGAAAATGAAAATGAAAATAACTTACCTTTTAGTAATTTGAAAATTTTAATTAAATGCAATGCCTGGCAGCTGCCAAGCTAGACAATCCGACAATCTCAGTGATGGCTGAAAGGACAGCAGCATGGGCATGGAAGAGCCCATTCAGCTGGCTTCTGGCTGCTGGGCTGGGCCATGTGCGACTGCATCGACGCACATTTGCATTCGGTCAAGGCCTGTGTAGATAATGTCCTACGCACGGCAGGCGGCGCAGAGTCCAGTTCAGTCAAACATGGCAATAATGGGACGCACACACATGCACACATGCACACACGCACACACGCACACATATGCCTGAACTAGCTGTTATTAAATGCAAGTGCAGCAATCGCCCATGCTTTTGCCCCTTGCCCCCTGCCCCCTGCCACTGGCGGAGGTTGGCTGTCAAGCTGCGTTAGCTGTGGCTAACTGTATGTAGCACTTTATATGTATATTTGTGTGCACATGTATGTGAATGCTTTGTGTGTGTGTTCGTGTGTATTGCGTGTGTATCCTGTCGGCATTACAAGTACATTTTGAACAAGTGTGCTGCGTGTACTACTAACCTTAGCATTTTCGGGTTTTGAATTTGCTTAAATTGCCTTGTTGCTGCTTTTGTTGTTGTTGTTGTTGTTGTTGTTTTAATTGTTGGCGCTACCATCTCCATGCCATTAAGTGATTATTTGCATAGGCTTACAGCCAGCAGCTTTAACTAATTGATATCGATTTTGGTCAACAGTCGTGTGTGTGTGTGCCCACAATAGTTGTCATGAGTGAGTGTGACTATTAAATCGATTTTGGATTCTCGTTCGCCATCGAAAACTTATCAATTCTGCATGTATCTAAAGTGCACTTTGGCTCGACTCAGAAAACAAACTTCCGCCTTTGTCGCAGCTGTGCGACATCTCTTTTCATACGCAATTAGATGGTTTTCTTCAGAGTGCTCGACCCATAAGCCGCTCAACATGGCTTAAGTACGCATTAAAGGCAGCAACAAGACGATAAACAGCTAATTAGCAAACTAATGGGCCGTCTGCAGCTGAATGGCACAACTAACTAACTAACTGAATATTTTAATCAGCTGCACGGAACTTTAATAGGTCACAGTGACACCGCGAGAAATTGCGCTGCAGCTCAGCTTGAGGATTTGTTATCTCATTTTAATCGCGTATACGCAGTGTTGCGCCCAGATGATGCAACTTCGTTGAAGCTCTTCTCTGTGGTCATTGGGCGCTGTCAAAGTGCCAGAGAGAGAGAGAGAGAGAGAGAGAGAGCGAGAGAGAGTGTACAAATATTGCCCTATTGACATGACTTTAAGGAAACTTGGCAACATTCCTAAAATTGACAAAGTTTCTCCGGCAGCAGGTAAACACTGCAACATCATGCCACGCATGTCTAATACTGCGCCATTCAACGTGCACTGGCATTTCAGTCTTTTCGTCTCCTCGGCTTGTGGTTGAGCTGAGCAGCTGAAATTGCCAGCCATTTTGTGGTGTGCTGCCTAAATACAACTGATTGCCTAACTAAGGTGCATTCGACTCTCATCTGCAGTTGTTTCAGCTGTTTGTTGTTGTTGCCAACTGGGTTTGTTTACGGCAACCGCTGGCTTGTGGTTGGCCCGTAGTGCATTTGATTGATTCGGTTAGTCTCATTTGCTAATGCAAATATTGGCAGAGTCGCTCTGTGGGTGAGTGGTTGAGTGGCTGAGTGGTTGAGCGGTTTAGCGGTGCCATTGGCTCTGCCTCTGCCAGCTGGTTCGTTGGCTTCGCTGTGGGTTTCAATTCGAAAAAGCAGTTTTAATGAAATTGCCAGGGCTGTGATTTTGTTTATCCTTACACACCGTTTATTTAATTAATTTGCCGTTAGTATTTGCATATTGTTTTGTGTACATGCATACCATACATACACACATCGGAATATATGCACGTATGTATACATATAAATATTTATATATTAATATTTACCTAAGATACCAATACAATTTCATTGTTGATTATCTAATTGAATTCAATACATTTTATAGTTATATCATAATTAAGATAAATTAAATAACGACAGCCTACATTAAAAATAATGCAACCTGCCCCGTTGTCGGTAAATTATCAATGGCAATCAAAAACGTAACTGGAAATTCTGATGATGGCCAGGTGAAATCAGTGTAGATGCGCCTCAACTCGATTGCAGAACAATTTCATTTCCATCTCTTTTTGAACAGTTCAATTTATCACATCAAATACATATTTTTGAGAGTGTGTGGCGTGAGTGTGTTCTTACAGGCTAGCAGACATTTAACGAGCATATATGAGTACTTCCGAGGATCTGTGATAACTCTTGTGGGCTTACAGTCAGTTTTACATACATTTAGATTTTGTAAAGTCTTTGTTTTGCATTAGCGAGAATTACGCGTGTGGGCTTACGATCTAGAGTTTAGTTTACACACTGAATGAACAACAATTAGAGTTGAGTTTTGAGCTGTCGAGTTGCTCGGCTAAGTAAATGCATTTAAATGCTCTTCATTTTCATTTGTTTGCTTTGTGTCGGTGTCGATATTTTGGATTAATTGTTGTATGTTTTGTATTTTTTGTTGTATGTTTTTTTTGTTTTTTGTTTTTGTAGTTTTCTATGTTCTGGCCAAGTTAGCTCTTGGTACATTGTTTAAACGTGTATCGCGTACTCTTGGCGCTCCTGCTCCTTTTTCTCGTGATACCTAGGGGTCGCAGGCTGGTTAGTTTTTGCGATTCAAGGTTCAAGTTCAAGGTTGGTAGACGCTACAGGCATGCAACAAACTACGGTCAAGCACTGGGAGCATCGTATCTACACATTGCGCTTACCTTGCCAACAGTGAGGTCAACTCCTCGCGGTCCAGTTTCGCCAGCTGCGCTTCGCTGGTGTTCTCCATTACGCGCTGCACCTCCAAGTCCAGGGCGCGCTGCTCCCGCTCGCACTCGGCCTGGTCGCCGAACTCGCGGGCATCGTGAAAGGCGGCCGGCGGACGAAAGCCGCTGGACAGATCGCCGCCAGTCATCGCGGCTATGGAGGCGGCCAACGAGGCGGCTGTCTCAACCTCACTGCCAGCGCTGCAATTAGGGGCAATGGAAGGAGCATGACGCAGGAGCATATAGTTCGTGTTGTTCGAATGAATTACAAATCGCAATGGAAATGAATTTGTTGTTGTCTTTCAATTTCTGTGTGCGTGTGTGTGTGTGTGTATAAATGGATCTCTTTTTGGTGGGGTGTTCGATTCGGATTGGTGAGGGCTTAGGTACCTGAACTACCTGTTGTTACTACCAGGGCACTTTCGTCGCTCCAATGTCTGGTTGCCGGACTGCACGCCATGCTTCCGGCTCCGCTGTCCCCCGCCACTGCGCTTCTCCAGTGCCAGTCCGATGTGCCGCGGCGTATTGTGCCGCCGCTCCACTGCCGGCGAGCCCTGGTCATTGTTCGACTCGGTGCTGGAGTCGGGCCGGAACATATCTGCAAAGTAACAGGCATTGGCTGCGAATGCATGACCCGATTCCCGTGCGGCATACGCACCTACAACGGCGCGCCCGTCGCTGCTGCGCGACGACTTGCAAGGAACTCGGTAGGTGGGCATGTTGGAGAACTCGGTGCTGGGGCTGATGCTGGTGTCTGACTCGGACTCGGCCACCACGCCGGCGTTGCCGGTCTTGGCACTGCGTGCACCACTCGACTTCTTCGAATGACCGGACTGCGAGCCGGCGACCATGGTCATCGACTTGCTCAACGTGGACTCATCTGGGAACGACAGCCTCAGTCTCAGCCTCAAGTGTAATTACAGACATAGACAGATATAGCATACCATCTGTGTTGTAGTAGCGCTGCTTGTGCCAGCTGGACTTGCCCTTGACATGCCCGAAGCCCGAAGTGGGCAGCAGCGGATATGCCGTGGCATTAAGACTCTCGCCCTCCGGGTGCCCAAACGTCTTGAACTGCATGGTGTAGTCGTGCGGCGTCTGGACGGCCAGCCCGCGTGTGGGCGTCTTGGCCGGGGCGCCAGTTCGTCCGCCATTCACGCTGAATGTGGCGTACGGCGAAATCTCGTACATTTCTAAGTAAGTCACGAAGCAAGCGAGAGAAATGCGAGGGAAGCCGTTTAATTGCTGCCTGCAGCTAGACACGTGACACACGCCACTCACCCGAATCGTTGCTCTTGTCCACCGTCTTGACCGGCGAGGCGCTGTACACCTGCTGGTTGCGCCGGTTCTCGTGCTCCTCCTTGTAGTCCCCGGGCAGCGCTCGGGACTCGTAGCCCTCGGTGATGGGACCGCAGAGGGTGCGACGATGCTTGATGGTCAGTCCGCTGCAAGAGATTAAAACCTCGTCTCAGCAATTAGATGTCTAATTAACTAAAGCACTGCGCGAAATTGGAATTCGCTCTCGGGAAGTTGCTGAAATTGATAAATTGGATTTATCATTTGAGCATCCAGCAAATACTGTTAATTTTCCAGTATGCCGTTTATAGAAAACATAAAATGCGAAGGTAAATTAAAAAATAGAACGGTTTTCATTTGATATATCGCTGCACATTCACCTGACGCATAACCTGCACCCCGGTTAATTAAAGCTTAATTACGGTTCGAAAGCAATTACGTTTCTTCAACCGCTCAACCCTACCGCCCTCCCGCCCCACAATCCCCACGATCCCTCAACACCCCAATTCAATTTTCATCCCTCCCAGCGACTCGCCCCGGCGCTTACATCGTCATGATGGACAGTGTAATTATGACAACGACAATGAACGTTGCCAACCAATCACCGCTGGTCGGATTTGTCACATTTATCAGATTGTTCATCAAATCATTTTCTGTGGGAAACACCGATGGCGGCGGTATGGTGCTGCCGTCGAGGTTCGTGGTGCTGAAATGATAATGCTCCGTCGTTTTAGCCGCATCGTTGGTGGCGGAGATGCGCAGCTGGTACCATTTGGCGGGTAGAAAGTCGCAGAATATTAAATTTTCACGGTTCTCCTCCGCGTTCGAGATATCCGATGTGACAACTGTCCAGCGTACGTCACCTGAGGGATAAAAACAACAAGGATGAAGCAAGTCAATGAAAGGGAAGAGCGTGCAGTCGGACGTTGTCACGCCCCTAGTGGCCCTAGATATATTTTCCGTTAACGTTCACAACGGACACGGTTATACAAGAAAATATACTCTATTAGGGTAGAGGTAATTTAATTTGTTAAACTTTATCTTCATTTGAGTAACTGTAGAAAATTAAAAAAGTTATCAGTAGATACGCATGATTATATTTTCGATATTTCGATTATATCAGAAGTATAATATAACCTACTGAAGCTAAGGAGCCTAACAGCTGAATATATAAATAAATGCAACTGCGGCATAAAGTTAAACATTTATTATAGTGTAAAATCTCATCAACTTCAATATTAGAAATAAAATTCAAATACGTCAATATATATTTGTCGATATATCGCTTATAATACACAGAATAAATATATATTTGAATTGCAAAACTAATATACCCTCTCACACTTTCAGCAACAAGTCAGATATTTTTTTCCGGCTAAAGGAAATTATACTTTATACGCCATGTTGCACTTGGCTTCCCCAATGGCAGTACAAATTGTATAAATATTTATAAATAAATATATATGCATGTTCATTGCGCAGTTAATTGAAAACGTAAATAATTGCATTAATTTAATTTCATAAAAAATGAATATTGATAATTATTGTGGGCGAAACGCGAATGCCCTCGCCCGGCTATCAGCTGGATTGCTTGCAGTGAAATATTCATCGCAGGCTTTGCATTTTTTTCTACCAGATTATACAGTTTACTCTCGGCTTTAGCGGATTGAGGGACCTTTAATGCAAAAATCTGCTAATAATAATGAGCGCGCTCCGCATTTAAAAACATTCACTGCGCTCGGGCAGAGTGAATGAATGAATATTCATTATACATACCGAGTGGCCGATGCTCGATGGAGAAGTGATGAATGGTGCAGCCGCCGTTGTGCCACGATGACAGCTTCAAATTCACACAGGTTGCATTTGTGGCAATTAGTTCATTGCCATTGGGCGCCTGCGAGGCTGTGCGTGGAATGTAAATGAAAATGGAAATGAATGCATGTGGGAAATATTCAGCAGTGAGTGGTGATTGTGGTCAACTGAAATGTGAATGCGGCCGCAGCCAGTGGAGGCAGCTCGGCGCGACTGGGCCAAATGCAAATGCGAGAGCAAATGCAAATCTGCATCTGCTGGGGCTGCGCACTCACCTTTTCCCTTGGTCCAGACATTAATTTCCTCGCTGGCCGGGCCATTGCCCACCAAATTGTGAGCCGACATTTTTATAATGTACTGATTTCCGCACTTCAGTCCCGTCATTGTGTAAGCGTTGTTCTCCGGCAGCAGCTCCGTTTGGGTCCAGCTATCGCCGGCGGTGTGATATGAGAGTGTGTAGCCCTGCAACGGGGCGCCGCCGTCGTCGGGCGCATCCCAGCTGACACGTATGCTGTCAGCGGAAGCATACTGCACGATGATTTGTGGTGCGCCGGGCGGCCTCATGGCAATCACCTGATATTGGATTTCGTCACTGCCAAAGAGATTGTTTGCCGTGCATGTATAATTTCCGGACAGGCTGCCTTCCACTCCTGTTTGGGCGCAAGCAGCGCGAAAAGCGGATCAAAAGATGTAAATGCAAATAGTTCGCATCACGGCTCTACTTACGGTGTATCCTCAGATTGCCCTCGTTGGTCACCTCGTAGAAGGGGCTGAATGTGACGGGGCGATCACGGGTTAGCCAGCGCGCTCGCGGCGTCGGATTGCCCACGGCGAGGCACTCCAGCACCAGCCTGGTGCCAATGGCCTTGCGCACCACCTGCCCAAATGAGGCGATGCGTGCAGGCGCTACATCAGGTGCACAACAAAACAGAATTAAAACCATTGCCAAACAGTGTACAGAGTACAGAGTACGGTGTACAGAGTACAGTTAGGTGCACGGAATTTAAATATTGACAACGCTGTTGCGGTCATTTTGTGCGAGCCAACATGGGGCCATGTATGAAATTTTAATTAAAACGAAAATCACACAATCGCCTTTGATGGCATCATTTGAGCCGTGTAAAAACTGTTATGGGGCGCCATAAAGCACTGCCACGCCTACCTCGTGTATTGGTCGCCTGCGCCACAACAGATGTGGGCTCGCCCTCGCCCACGGACGTGGACGCCGATACCCAGAACTCGTACATTTGATTCTCGGCCAGGCTGCGTGCCTCGAATGTCACCGGATAGCCGTTCTCATCAACGCGCACCATATGAGCTGATCGAGAGCCAGGAAAGAAAAACAACACGAGAGAAACGAGAAACGAAAACGAGAAGAGGAAATCGAGAGAAATGCAAACAGATGCAATGCAATGCGTGTGTTAGCCACGCCCATTTCGGATACTCACTCTTGGTCTGGCCCTTGCGACCGGCCTCGCGCGCATATACCGTGTAATGCGATATGATGCCGTTGCGATTCTTCGGCGGCAGCCATGAAATTAAAATCGAATCAGCTGTCAAGGCAGCCGCTTTAATGGCCGCCGGAGCGTCGGGCACATCGTCATCCGTTTGGCAAAATAACGGCTGACTGGCCATTCCATCGCCGGTGGCCGTGTAGGCCAGCGCCCGTATCGAATAGTTGGTGGCCTTGAGCAGCGTATGCAGATACGTTTCCAGGTTCGAGGTGCGTTTTATCTCCAGCTTGGCGGGGAAGTCGACTGTGAAATTGAATTGATAAGCCATATTGTTATTGTTATGCTACAATAAAACGAACCAAAATTTACTTTGAGGAGATTAACTTTAGCTGAACACACGAAAAAATAATTTAATTGAAAACAAGTTGGAGTGCTCTAGTCGAGTTGTGCTGACTAAGAGATACCCAGCACCAGATTTGAATCAGCCCTCGCTTGACTATATGTTATGCTATGTTAAATGTATATGTTATGTTAAATGTATATGTTTTCTGTTGAATAAACTCTCTTTTATAAAACTGATAATGAGATTTACGAGATGTACATGTATTTCCCAGTCCTCAGAAGTATTTGAAATATGACTTTTGAGCATTTAGCAGGTCTCTAATATGAGAATACTTGAGATCATGGCTTCACTCCCAAAATGCGTACAATTTAACTAATTCCAATAGAACCATATACAGCATACCACATTCAGAGAATTGAAAAGGAATGAAGGAGCGAAAAGTTTAATAAAGACGAAGGCAGTCGCAGACATAAGAAACGGTCCTCAATAAGCCGAAGCCGAAGCAAAGTGTGGTAATTGTAATCAAGTTCAAGGTCGGTTTGCCCCTCACTCATTCAATTCGGTTTGCTCTCTTTTGAATATTGTGTGGCCGAGTCTCATGAGCGCGCTTTACCAACTGGAGATTGTGGAGTGCTCATCAAAGGCTTGAGTGTTCTTTGAATTCCAGTATGTATGTGTTTTTATTCAGCGCTTAGAGCAGAGAGAAACAGCTAAGGTCAGCGTGAGAGTAAACTTAGACGTGATTTGCTCGTGTGTTCGATATTTGCGCTTCGGCTTAAAACTATTGTACATTATTACTTATATATGTATAGGTATTCTCATTCTTGGAATTGTGGAGATCTTGAGTGCGACGACTTGGCGACGGCAAAGCTCTGAGCAGCTCTGAGCATTGTGAACGTCAGTTGTTAGGTCTCAGGATGGAAAGTAGAGGGAACTGGTGGGTGGCAGGTGGTGCTGGTTGGTAACTCGTGCGCTCACTTCAACTGCTTTGGTTTCGCATTCAATTTCACTCAACAAATTCTGAACATTGCTAATTTCAACGTATTTTATTTGTCTCTCATGCTTTATGCGATTTTCGAAAACCGTGTTTAATCTGAAACTCCATTTTTAATGGCTTCAGGCTATACAAAATATAGTCTTTGTTGAATTCAGAGCTTTGAAATAATTGCAAGTGTAAAGTTCTTCACTTGAGTAGAATAACATAAGTGGAGCCTACAGCCCAAGCTTCGTTCGTTATTTAAAACTAATTTAGGCTGAGCCATAGGACTTTTATGGCATCACAGACATCCTTTATACATTGACGTGATGAAGCTACGAAAGGCCCATTTAAGTCGCAGCTTGTAATAAACTTTATACGCTGACAAAGGGGAAGTCACTGGCAGGCTAATCGATTTGAGTAGATGAAAAGTGTAGCTGCTTGGGCCGTGTAAATAGTATCGATTGCCAAGTGCGTACATTGATTTGATAAGCGGTGCCAATATCCACAACTCGCCGGCTCATCAATGTGCTGACGCACAGCTCGGCGCCAAAACCAATAAAGCAAGCAGCTAACTTGCCGTTGCTTACTCGCAGCTCTGGCTCCAGTTGCTCGTTTTTCCAGCTCCTTCTACTTCTCCGGCTTGCCCCTTTGGCAACTACACAATCATATCGATTGCTGTTTACACAGCGCTCGTCGCTTGCAATATCAACAAAATCAGCGCCATAAAGTGCCAACTGGCAACCACAAAATCTAGATGCGCTGGCCGGGGCAGCCAATACTCACTCTGATGCACTATGGGGCGATATAAAATTTTATAGCCTTGTATAATGCCGCCATGGAATTGCAGTGGCGGCTCCATCCACGATATCTTCAGGCTCTGCGAGGATAGCGAAGAGCAGTTCACGTTTTGCGGCGCGGCCTCAGGTACTGCAAGTAGTCGAATCGATTGGAAATTAAATTTTATGATTTTGTATTGGGAATTAAAAAGTCTGTTCAATAAAATAGCCCAAATACAATGAGTTTAGTTTTAGTTTCAGTTTTAGTTTTACTTGGGTAAAATCTATTTTCGTTTGCTTTTCTATTTCTATTTCTGTTTAATATTTTCCTTTTTCACAGCTCTTAAGAGCTTAAGGAACTGCAATCTGTGTGGAACGACAGTCTAAATGACACTTACCGCCCTCGGCTGTGGTGCCAAAGATGGGCGCACTCCAGGGGCCGGATCCGAAGCTGTTGAGAGCCCGCACAGTGACTGCATAGCGCGTGTACTTGCGCAGGCCACGCAGCGTGGCCTTGGTGGTTGCCCAACCACTGACAATGACCGACTTGAGCGAGCTGTTCACCACGCTGATGTAGTTAATGTTTTGCTTTTCCTCCGTGCAGTTCACGGTGTAGCCAATCAGCTCGCCGTTCCACGACTCCCGTGGCGGTATCTGAAATGGATTATTTATGTGTGTTAATTATTTATAGTTGTATATATATATTTTTTATTTATTAATTATTAATTATTATTTTGATTATTAATTTTTATTTATTTTATTTATTTATTTTTTTTTTATTTATTTATTTATTTTTTTTTTGCTTTTACAATTATTTATTTAGCCTTTATCTTACTGATGATATTTTAATTAATTTATTTTAACATCTTTTTTCTTTATTTAAATATTAAATTAATTTTTATGTATTCCTTTTATTTTTATAATAATTTTTAATTTTATTTTTTTATTTTTTCTTTGTTGTTTATATATAATGCAGGATTACAATTTTTATAATTTTTTTATTTTATATTTTATTATTAAATTATTTTTTTTAGTGAATTGAGAAAATTGATATACAGCCAGCTTAAATAAATATTAATCAGTATTTCAATATTATCAAATAGATATGGACATTTAAGTTGAATATGTTTATAGTCTGTCATATTATTGAAGGACAGAAAGCGCCAGTGGATACTCAATAATTAACTAAAAATATCTTAACTGTAATTTTCATATACACAAAATAAATAAATAAAATTTGAAAATAGAAAGAAAAATATAAATAAAATCAGCAAAAAGAGGCAACCATAAAAGTATAAGAAAACATTGAAAAGTAACCACATAATGTGAAGGATTTCACGGATCATCAATTTTATGCCTGTGCTATTTCTACTTGGTGCACCCACCTGCCAGGTAATAATCAGCTCACTCTCGCCGCCCGTTTGCACCTGCACATTTGATGGGGCCTCCGTGGGCGCTTCCTCCTGCGTTTTGAGCACAATGGCCTCCGTAAAGGCGCTGCGCTCAATCTCATTAATGGCCTGCATGCGGATGAGGAATGTCGTCGCCGGAGACAGGCCAGCCACAATGGCGTTCTCGCGCAGATCGCTGTCATAGCTGAGAGGGGAAGAGAAATATGCTCAGAGTCTTTCAGCGATTCATGGGCAGAGGCAATCAGCACACGCGCACACACCTGCGACTAATGCTCGTCGATGGCAGAGTGACATTGATGACATTGACGCCATTCCAATCGCCGCCGGCGGCGCCGAGCGATGAGTGCGACTGCAGATACTTGAGCGCCTGGTACTGCACGAGGTAGCTGAGCACGGGTGAGTTGCCGTCGAAGGGTCGCCGCCAGCTGAGCTTGACGGTGCGCGAGCCGACCTCGAAGACCTCCAGATTGGAGGGGGTGTCGGGTCGCTCCTGCACGGCTAGAAAGACAATTTGCTCGGCACGGCCATAGGGATTCTCGGCGATGCAGCGATATACACCGGAGTCATGGCGATCCGAGTGGGCGATGGTTAGCTGCGAGTCGACGCCTTTGTCCGTTTTCATTTCCGCAATGCTAAAGCGAAAGTTATTCATGTCGATGCGGCCATTGTTGTGGGTCCAGGCAATGCTGATGGGCTCGTCGCCCTTCGCATGGCAATCCAATGTAACCGGATCATTGCGACGTGAGCTGACATTACGGGCGGGCTGCTCGAAGCGCGCCGGCTCTGCATGGTGTATGGAGTGGATTGAAGTTGGTAAGTCAGTGATTATTTTAATCCTGTCGATAAGGCTGCCATTTCAATTACCATTCACATTGATGCGTATTATTTTCTTGAGTCCGGCGCCAATTTCGTTGGTGGCCTGGCACATGTAGAAGCCCTCGTCGTTGTCCGTGGCCAGATTAAGCACCAGCGAGTGGTTGCGCATGTTTAGGGGCTTGAAGTCTTTTGATGCCTTTCCTGCAAGCGAACCCTTAATTAAACTAATTGCTGCCCTCATTCAAATTGGATGGAGCTAATTAATAAGCCAGCCAGTTTGACTTTGGCGCTGGTGCTGGCCCTGGCTCTGGCTCTGGCTCTGGCTCTGCACGTTTAACCCATCCAATTTGAATGAGCTCAGGCTGCGACAGGCTGTGGGGCCTAAGCTGCACGGGCCGGCCAATTGGCAAACTTACCCTGTCCTTTGAACCAGGTAATTGCTGGAATCGGATATCCTTCCGCCTCGCAATTTATCGATATTGTATTGCCCAGCATAATGGCCGTGTCCATGGGCTCGTAGCTCCAGCGCGGCGCCACTGAAACGTGACCGGGACACAGTACCGAAATGTAACGAATGAAAGCGCGCCAAGTAAACAACAAAATTAACAACTTGCTGTTTGTGTTTCTCCCAACGTGTGTGGGTGTGTTAGAGTGTGTGTGTGTGTGTGAGTGTTGTATATGTGTTTCGGTGTATTGCTAGAGAAACGGTAAAGTGCTGGCAGAACTGCCACACAAATCCTGCGTGATTTATTTTGTAGCAGCAGCAAAGCGCATCAATAGATAGAGCATCTCACGAGGCGGAGACTTGCCCCTGCCATTACAATTCCTTTTCATGGTCCAACAAACTTACCTCGCACTTGCAGTTCCGCCGTGTAGTTCACCTTGGCCGCCGCGTTGCTGGCGTAGCAGGTGTATTTGCCGCTGTGCCTGGCGCTGATATCCTTGAACACCAGCAGTGAGTAGAACTCCTCCTTCTTCTCAGTAATCTTGTAAATTGAAACACACACACAGACATAGAGAGACAGAGGCAGAGGCAGAGAAGAAAGATGCAGCATCAGCAAGAGTAAAAATGTTTCACAAGTTGCGCTAAATGCAACGCTAGTTCGACATCTTTGGATTGCCAGCTCACCTGCAGGCTGAGCGGAATGACGCTGTCGTCCTTTCTCCAGCTAAAGTAGATGGGCATGTCGCCAGAGGATACCGCGCAGGTGATTTGTGCGCGCCCGCCCTCCTGCAGGTTCTTGGGAAACTTGAAGGCCTCAATGACAGGCGGACCTGGTGAGCGATTAGCCAACGTGGCAGACATTAATGCGACATCCAACTGAAGGCGACGCCCTCGCCTCAACTTACTGTTCACATTCAATTGCATGTCGCGGCGCGCCTCCTCGCCCGCCCGGCTCCTGACGATGCACGTGTAGATGCCCTGATCCCGTCCCGGCTCCACATTCCGGATGACAAGCTGTCCGCCCTCCTGCACCGAGGCGAGCGTGTAGTGAGCGCCTTGGCCAAAGACAGAAATGAAAATGTGTGTGCATTAAATTCGGCTAGTCCTACCCCTAGTCCCTGCCGGTTGCAATTTGTCTTACTTGTTGTCAATTCCTGATGCGCCTTCTCCCAGCGAATCTGGTCAATTGGATAGCCGGCGAACGGACAGCGCACAATTATGTCCTCGCCAGCAACGGCCTTAATGGGTCCTATGGCTCGCACATACGGAGGACCTGCATAGATGTGCGTGTGTGTGTGTGTGCGAGAGCATTGTGTAATTTATTAAATTAGTTACAAAATGCAATTAGGCAGCAATGCCACGCCAATGCTTAATAATTCAAATTATATTTTGTTCGGCACAGATGCGATGCTAATGCATAAAATGCAGTCGTGGCTGGCGCCACGGGGTGCAATTTGTAGTGCCACTAATGCAGCAGGAGGCGTGCTGCGCAAATGCGTTGCATAAATTGCAATATTTATAATTAAACAGCCTGCTCCGCAGTACAACAGCGCGTATGCGCAGTGTCGCTGCTGGTATATAAGCATTTACATAATATTGATATGTTTCTGCGTATTTAGATATTTCTCTTTTTTTTTTTACAAACTCGTAACTTTGAGCCCATTATCGAAATGCATAATGGTCAATTATGTCTTTTGTATATTGTGTTGCATAATTTAGTTATAGTCAAATTCACTTTGTTCAAAATAACCAAGTTAATATCTGGCATTGCTATTTATCTATCGACTGAGTTTATTTGTGCTTTCCATTAAAATATTGCAGAAAGTTTGTTTAAAAAAAAAAACAAAAATATTATTAAAAAAATAATAATAATAATAATAAAAAAATCAAAAATATTATTTAAAAAAAAATATATATATAAAATAAACTTAAGTACACTCAACTTTATTTTGTTAAAAAAAAAAACAAAAATATTAATAAAAAAAATAAACAAATAATAATAATAATAAAAATATAAGTACACTCAAATTTACCCTACATAGAGGCTGCTTAAGATTTGTTCTATAGTACATATATAATACACGCTTGTAGATTTTAAAGTGTTATAAATAATTATTTAATGTATGTTGAAAAAATTCTATATTTTATGTACATATATATATAAGCTATGCTCATTTGCAGACTCGAACTAAACTGTTCTCCTAAATACCTACATCTCTAGCCTGCTTAAAAATACAAACCTTCCCAAACCCCTCATATTGCTGAGCGTGCCCCAAGCTAGCAAAGGCAAACCGTTTCAGAGCCACTGTCCATTCGGGCTCTCATCTGCATTAATAACTGTTCTTGCCTAGGCCTAATTTGATTTCAGATTTCGCTGATGGCGGCACACAGGCACACGCCATTCATCATCAATGGGCCCACTCAAATATCAACTATACGCACACATGCAGCCCCCCTCCAACGGGGCAGAGCGAACGGCAGGAGACAGCATCAATCATGGGGCGCACTCGGGGGCATTTGATTAATATATGCCAGATACATATTCACTTATGCATTATTAACACATTAAGATCGAATTATCAAAACAGCTTAAACTGCTCAAATTCGATCCTAAGTGCTTGAGGCAACAACTCTGCCTGGCAACCCATCAAATATTTGTGTGCCTTAACTGACAAAGTTTTTTTTTGCCTGATTTGACAGTGATTATCCCGCTGGCTGGAGGGTGTCTTGCCAGGACCTTGTTATCAATGGATAACATTGGCAACATATCGACCCCAGCGGCGATGGGGGGAATTTACTTGGAATTTTCTCTGGCGCTGTATATGCGGGTATTTCTTTTATATTTTCTTCATTTTTTCTTGTTATGTCTACTCGTGCTGCCTTTTGTCGCGTTGCCCTGACAAAATGTATTTCCAATCAGAGCGGATGCGACGAGAGCACTAACAAAACGCATGGCTCAGCGTCTTTTGTGATTTGCATTGTGCGCCACACAAAAGCGCCTTTCGAGGGGGATTGGGGGGTGTGGGGGGTGTTGGCACAATGGGGGTCATGTCGTATAATTGATTTCGCAGCCAATTTATGAACTCACCGTAAACATTCAGCCGGGCGGAGTGCTCAACACTGCCCATGGTGTTGGTCGCCACGCACCTGTACAGGCCGCCGTCGTCGGGACGTACATGGGAAATATTTAAATGACTTATCACATCGCCAGATACATCGACAAATTGGCCAATTGCGAATCGATGATGCAGAGATATGTCCATAATGGGCTGCGAGTCCAGGAGCCAGGCAAACTGCAATGAAAATCGCAGCGGATAATCAATAAGAAGTCGCCGGGATATGGTCACTGCATAATTTGTGTGCTTAATCAGTGATTCATGTGTGTATGTGTGTGTGTGTGTGTGTACACTGTGTGTAATGATATAGCAATGCATAATAATAGCAATAAAACATTTGAACTTACTTGGGGCGGTGGCGAGCCGCTGGCTGAGCACTTAAGCGATATTAATGGCCCCGGACGCACATTCTGCTCAATGAACGTGTAAATCAATTCGGGCACAGTGTCTGCGAACGAAGAGGCAAAAGCAGCACGGCTGATAAATGCCAAACCCTGTCTCATAAACTATGCATGAGTGGGTAGCTGTGAGAGCAACGCTCCATCCGCATCCACGAGCTCACGGCCCATAACACCCATGTCAACTTACCGCCCAGCTTCAGCTCTGCCATGGCCTGAGCGCTGGCACGCTGGTTCTCCACGAGACATTGATAGACACCGCGGTCGCGTCGGCCCACATTCGAGACAAGCAGCGAAGTCTTGGATAGGAAGCGTATGCTGGCAACGTAATAAAGGGATGGAATTTTTTCGAAAATCAGTTTGAGAATAATATGCTAAATGCTGAAGAAATACCTATTTAAACTTTAACAGGCAAATACAAAAATAAAGTAAAGAAATGTAAGAATAAAAAATAAAAAGACTTTGCTTCGAAATTGACGACGTTGCAGGAAAAAGTCCCGAACATACAATATGCCATAAACTCACGCCATTTTGTAAGCTAAAAGTGTTGGCTGTATATGTATGCTATATACCTATTCGTAAGTGTGTGTGTGCGGGTGTGTGTTGGTGTATTTTCTCTTTCTTATTTTCTCTCTCTGTGCGAGTGTGCGTGTGTTTGTGTGGAGTGGCCTTTTGTTCGCTCAGGCGAAATTTGTTATTTATTTTATTAGCATAAGCATAAAAATTTCTGGTTGATTTGTTATGCTGATTTGCTGTAGCTCAGTTCGGTTAGCCCCTTTCTATTTCGCTCTCGCTCTGCTTGACCGCTTCTGCTCTGGTATACATCCTTGGGCAACAGCTGGTCAGCTCGCCCGCATAAGCACACACACACACACACACACACTCATATAAGCAGTACACACGAGCAATGTTTGTTTTTACAGGCTGTTTGTACTCGAGGCTGTTTGCCAACTTCAATATATTTATGTATGGAAGGATATTTTGTGCTGATGCGCTGGAGCACTCGAGTCTCTGCATTTGGCTACGTCAAGCTGCGTATTATGCTGATTTCACGTAATTTGCATTAAATTATCAAGATGTGCTCAACCCGTTCAAATGCATGTATGTGTGTGTGTGTGTGCACAGTGTCCACTGTTCAGCTGAGCAATCTGCCGCTACGAAGATTAACATAATTTATGTTTTGTAGACACACACACACACACACACTTATACACACATGTGTGTGTAGACAGATGCATGTGCTTGCACAACTAGTATTCTATTTAACTTTAATTACTTGCACTAATGAATGATAACAAGGCTCACGTTTAGTTTTCCCAACTGTGGCCTTATCGAAGCCAGCCAGACTAAAGCCGAGCTTTGTTTTCAATCAGTTGATTGAAACCGTAGAATATTCATTGCAATCAATCAGCATACTTCAACAATGACCCTTGCGCGCATCAACTAATGGAAAACGATAGAAAATAATAAAAACAAAAGTCGTAAACAATCCGTGAATAGCTGACATCAAAAAGCTGCATGCAAAAAACTCAAAATAAAAATAAAACACCAAAACTGACGAAAAATCCGACGAATAAATAAAGTGCCGAACAATAGGGAAAAATGAAATTGTTAAGCGCAACAAATGAAGGCCTGCCGGGTTCACGGACCCGCTCCGCTCATCCATCGCGCATCAATAATGATACACAGCGATAAAACATTTTTTGATCGGAGCAGCCTTAACAACGCCAGTGCAAGACCAACAACAACAACAACATGTAATCTACGGCTTTTACCCAATCTCTTTTCGGAATACCCTGAAGGCACTGAAAATGGGCATTGTATAGTGTGTAACAGAACAGACAAGAGAAGATGACCGTCATATTGACAGAGAAGTTGATGCCTAGATTATGAAATGGCTGGAAGAAATACAGGAATGAATGCATATTTAAGGCCTTCCATTATATTCTCCAGAGACTTGTACTTTAATATGGGTAACGACAATATATATTAAAAAAATTAATAAGTAAATAAATATATATAAAAAATCCTAAATAAATAAAATATCAACAAAAAGAAACCCCTGAAAAAAAATTAAAAGAAAAAAAACGAGACAAGTAGAAATTAATTTAAAAACCAAAAAATTCCAGAAAACTACATAGAAAATATATCTACAGTTTTTTATAAATGTTCATAGCAAGTTAGATAGGGTATCTGTTGGTCGTGAATAGTTCTTGAAAATAATACTTTTTGTTTTTCTTTTTTCGATATGGACGAACAGAAAATTTTGAAACCATGGAGAAAACAAACAAGCAACAAAAAAAGCTAGAGATAGAATACAAATTTGAAATGGCCTATGCCCAACTCTGCCTACACACAATGTTGCATGTTGGAGTTGCATGTTGCCGACTGGCGTTTGCTGCACGGTGCTGGTATACTCACTTATCCCGGCCGGTGCTGAGTGCATTATTCGCTTGCAGCGGTTTGCCATTGTGCAGCCAGTCGATGCCATCGATCGCCGAGCCCGTCGTCGTGCAATTGAAAATTGCCGTTCCGCCCGAATTGACAATTTGTACTTGCGGTAGTATGTGCACAGATACGAACGTATTTACACTGAGCCGAATTTCGATGCGCTGCTCGCCAAACTGATTCGATGCCTGGCAAATCTGCAAAAAAAAAGAGAAGAGAGAGAACGTGCCATACATGAACTATGGAAGCAAGGGGCTAGTGCTACATAAGCCAGTCAAAATCAATCAACTCTGTCATATATATCACAGCGATACATGGCACAATGCTCGAGCCCTCTCTGTACAGATATACATACACACACATACATATATAACACTGGCAGACTGTGCATTAAACACAATATTCCGCTGGTAGACAGACAGACAGACTGTGGCAGATAGTCAAACTGCTTGACTTTAGCCATTTGATTGACTGACTAACTGACAGTCAGCGCTTGTCAATGGATTGAGGTTGTTATATGAGTGTAAGTGTGTGTGTGAGTATGGGTGTGTGTGGGTGGGTGTATATTTCGCAATGATAATACTTACCCATTTGCCTGTGTCCCGCTCGTCAGCATTTTTGATAAGCAACAATGTGCGCGAGACTATTACGCGCTGAGAGGATGGTATGGGATAAAGCGCTGCCGAGTCTGAAACGCGATACCAGCTGAAAATTATATGGATAAGCATGCACGCTCAGTTAGTTATTGAATGACTGATGGGTATATATAATAGAATTTTTCAAGTTTGTAAAGTTAGGCATACAATTTCAACAATATTCATGTGATTTACATTCTTCATCCTTTCTACATTATTTTATCCTTTTCTATTAAATCAATGCATTAGTATTTATTTTTGTTTAGATGTGATGTGTTGTTGCTCGTGATGGGCATACTAAGCATGTAACTTTTATTTGTGTTTCTTTACCAATAGCGATTATGAGATTATATCTTACATATATTTAAAAAATCCACAGATAAAAGCTTTTGCCTATCAGTGCTTGGACTATGCTTGAATATTTTATTGATTGAATGCCCATTAAACGAAGGCAGCTGAAAGCTCATATGAAGGCAACTGATGAAACGAATAAATACTTAGAGGCAATACTCAAGTTAAGCTAGAATACAATATACAAGCTGTTGATAAATATTTCTCTTTTGTATCTCTCCAACACAAAGCTGAATTAGAACAATTTTTAATAAAAATTAATACATTTTTACAAATTTTAAAAATGCAACTAGCTCTATTATATGTGCAGAGTTGGCTAATAGTAAACCGCTTAGTCAACTGAAAGATGCCTCATACAATATATTTAAAATTCACAAAAGGAAACTTCTTTAATACACAGCGCACAGTCAAGTCCTATTGTGAGTGAATAAGAAATGCTTGATAACAATATGCTACACTCTATATAACTTATTTATAAACACGAGCATAATCTGCTGCATGGAAAAGTGAATGTTTAAGATATTCAACATTCTCTCTAGAGCACGCACGCACACACGCACCGTAAATATAAATACTTCTGATGAAATCAATAAAAGGCACTCAGCTTGTACGCCATAAACCGATTTCGCTCATTAGCCATGCCAGACACGTAGGCAGCTCGGACTAAACTTCAACTAAAAACAAAATTATCGCATTTTTCTCGCATTTATAGTAATCATAACGTGCCAGAGGGCTTCGGCATTTGGGAGTTAAAACCAACAGAGAGCGTAGAAAGAGATAGACAGAGAGATAGACGGGGCGCAGGGTTTACTGAAAATATGCTGTATAAATCTCGCGTCCTGTCGTTGTCTGGCGCTTGGCTGCTCTGTGGCTTGCCATTTGAAAATATTTCTGGCATTTCACGTAGCAAGCAGTCGGAGAGCAGCGCTTTTTGCATGTTTCTCTGGTGTTTGTTTGGATATTCCATGGCAGCTTTGTGCGCCTCCAAGCCCCGACTTGCCTTCCCTATGTCTCATACTCATTCTGTCTCTTTCTCTTTGGGGCACACATCAAGTGCTTATGGCTGCATGAAATTTTAATAAGCCCAACAGATGGGAAAGAGATGGCCAAATTTCGCCTTTGCCACAGACGCATCGGGCTGTCAATTAACCAGGCTTTTTATACTGCTAATTAGTGCCAAATGTCTGCTGTTATTTGATACGTTTCATTTACTGACTCTGAGTGCCTTTTACTCTGCTGTTGTTGTGTGTTGTTTGTTGTTTACCCAAATGAGTTTTTATTGTTTGCCAACAAAACATTGAGTTTTGTAAGTCGATACATTGAGTACTGCATAAACAAGTTGATTAAGTATTAGCCAAGTTACTTGGCAGCGAGCCAGTCGCTTTATTAGTTTGTTTTCGTCAGCAAGGACAACACAAGGCTAAGGCTGGGCTATCAAAAAGCTTTCTACATTAGGCCAGGCAGAGCTTCAATTAGCTGAGGCCGAGGCAAACAGACGAATGCACTTAAGTGCTGTATATTAATGTGACCCACTGCCACTGCCACTGCGTCTGCCATCCGAGTTGTGTTGGTACTTTATTGGCTGCCATAGGAGCTGGCAGCTGGCCTCTGGAATCTGAAAGAGTTTATTGGGGCAATACTCACGTGAAGATGGGAAAAGGATTGCCCTGTATGTTGCACGGCAGATGCACATCGTTGCCACGTTCCACCTGGATTTCCATAACTGGTTTTTGGCTGGTGCTTGGCGCCAAATTCTTGCTGAGCTCTGTAACCGAGGGTCGAACGTTTTAGTTGTCGCATAGTTGCCCCAATCCGATTGCTGTCCGCCTTACCTTTCACCTGAAGCATGACCGGCTCGCTGCGCTGTCGGTCGCCATTCAATGTGTTGGTAACCAGGCAGCTGAGCTTCACCAGGCCGTCCTCTGAGCGCACTGACCGCACATACAGATCCCCGGAGGCGGCCAGCACCACGTACCGGCCAGCTGCAGAGAAGCCAATATCAGGGAGTCGTAATTCAAAAATTGCATAAAACAATTGCAAAAAAAAAAAAAAAACAACTACAAAACGAACCAAAGCAAAACTGCATAGTGAAATCAAGTTGCTCGCTGCGTATACGTAACATTTATCAATAAATGTCAACGCTAACAGCAATACATAGCAGCAGCAACAACTGCACATCCCTCAGGGCATGCTGTATCGCAATAGCAAACAGGCAGAGCACAATGCTAGCATGTGTACATAAATTTCAGCAGCAGATAAACACCCGCACAAGCGCCCACACAGCCCTATCTGTCTGAGTGTGGGTGTGTATGTGTGTGTGTGTGTGAGTGTGTCTCTGTAAAAATGTGGCAACACTCACCAACATCCGACAGCTCCGGCAGCAGTATCTCCTCGCCTCGATGCCAACTGGCCACGCGCACATAAGGCCGCACATATTCCGGTATAGCACACTTAATCAACGCCGAATTTCCCAAATAGACTTCAGTGTTTTCCACGTGCACATGGAAGACTCGGCGAACCACTACAAAAACGGAGTAAAAAATATGCGAAAAAAAAGAGAGAAGAGACAGAGGGAGATACAGAAACAGATGAGAAGCTGAGAAATTGCCGAAAATCAACAATCGTTGCGTGCCTATTGGGCGAAAGTACTCGTCGACTGTGAACATAAAACGCTTTGGGGTAGGCCGATGGGGCGAGGGAAACCCCAGTGCACCCAGTGCAAAAAAAAAAAAAAGAAGAAGAATGGAATAACTGGGAGCACGGAGGCCAGCAGGCAGGACACAATGAGAGCAGTGAAATGCAATGCAAAAATGGCAGCAGTTTAAATGAATGAAATTGCTTGAAATTACATGCGAAACGGAAGTGAACAGATCATAAAGAAAGAAAGAAACAAAAGCGACTGAAAAAGGGAAAACCAAAAATGCTCAGCGCAGTATATGACTCGGAAAAAATATCAAAAATGATATATATGGGAAAATTCACAGCGCAAATATTGAATGAGATTTTAAACGACTATCATGCATCGCCTGCTTCACAGCTCACATCGGGTCGCCAGGTTGATGTGGGGCAATCGCCCTGCGGCTGTTGGCTATATGACTGACGGTATTTAAATAAAATCAGCGTTCACAATATCCGAATGCTGTCGCATCAATATATGCGATTTCATTTCGAAATCAATATTTGCACGAATAGAGAGATGAATGGGAAACGTCTAAAAATATTAAACTAAACAACATTTTATTTTACATCCATCAATTTAAACTTTAACGAAATTCAAGCTAATGACAACATAATAAATTATATAGGATATTCAGCTATCTTTTTGTGACTGAGTGTGTGTGTGTGTGAATGTGTGTGTAGAGAATGCTCTCCGCAATCTTGACAGCGCATCAACATTAATTTAGTGTCAAACGCCTTCAGGCATGCGGCAGCAGAATGCGATAGGAAATACGCAGGTTATTAAAGTGATGTGTGCTGAAATCAAAAACTAACGCGCAGTTGACAACTCTGACAGGCAGAAGTGAGGTGCAGCAGCCAAATCATGATAGCTACACACACTACGCGCTCCCGAGCAACAAAAAGATTGCCAGCAAATGCCGGGATAAAGCTACAGCAGCAACTGCTCTGTACGTGAGCTGCTTATAAATGTGCACTACATCCATGGCCGATGGGTTGGGATGGGTTGGGAGTGGGGGGATCTGTTTGTTGGTATTTGTATTTGCGGGCTGCAGTGCATGCTAATGGTGCCTGCCATGCTGCACACTTCTACCTTTATGGCGGCAACGTCAGCTACTTTAGTCTACTTTCCGCTTACCTGCTTGCACCTGCACATTGCGACTCAATATGGTGCCAGCCTCGTTGCTGGCGCGGCATCGGTAGGTGGCCTCGTGCACATCCGTGCGATAATATTGCGCCAAAAACGGTGGGAAGTGCAATGTGCCGTTGCCAGATATTTTTCTAAAAGCACAAAAAGACGAAAAGTAATGTAAGGAAACCAAATATACATAGACACACATATAAAGTGAGGGAGTGATAGAGAGAGAGAGAGAGGGGGGATATATATAAGCAGAATGCAATATTTTAGTACGTTAAGTCTTGGGCTTTTGTCGTTATTTATTTATACACATTGAGAGCGCGTTACACAAAAATTTGTTGCACAAAGCACCCAAAATGGCAGCCACTTTGCCGGCGAACATTTTATATTGCAACTATACTCGAAGATTTGCATAAAAATGCAATAAACCTAAGGATACTGCGGCGAATAGACGTGAGCGAGCCAAGCAGCTGGCAGTGGCAAATGCATTTGCACGACAGCTACTAACAATGGGACTTAAGAGCAACAGCCGGAAGTCCATAAGGAAGGAGTGAAGTATTTACATAAGATATGCAATCTAAAACTGGGATTACTTCTATCAGAGTACCGCATGAATCGAAGAATGACCAGAGCACACGCTTCAATGATGTATGTATTTGGGTACTTACATTTCAAATTGCTCGGAATTGTAAACGAATTCGATGAAGCTATAAGTATTCCGGTTTATGTTAATATATGCATGTATCTGTATCTGTATCTGTATCTGTATCTGTATCTGTATCTGTATCTGTATC